GCTGAGTGAACTGAGGGAGCTGAAGGAATTGGGGAACTAGGGGAGCTGCGGGAATTGGGGGAACTGGGGGAATTTGGGTAACTGAGGGAATTGGGGGAATTTGGGGAGCTGAGGGAATTGGGGAACTGAAGGAATTGGGGGAGCTGAAGGAATTGGGGAACAGAGGGAATTGGTGAGCTGAGGGAATTGAGGGAATTGGGGGAACTGAGGAATCTGTGGGGGAGCTGAAGGAATTGGGGAATTGGGTAACTGAGGGAATTGGGGGAACTGGGGGAGCTGTGTGAACTGAGGGAGCGGAAGGAATTTGGGAACTGGGGGAGCTGCGGGAATTGGGGGAACTGGGGGAATTTGGGGAGCTGAGGGAATTGGGGAGCTGAGGGAATTGGGGAACAGAGGGAATTGGGGGAACTGGGGGAGCTGAGGGAATTTGGGGAGCTGAAGGAATTGGGGAGCTGAGTGAGTTGAGGGAATTGGGGAGCTGAGTGAGCTGAAGGAACTGGGTAACTGAGGGAACTGAAGGAATTGGGGAGCTGAGGGAATTGGGGGAACTGAGGGAATTGGGGAGCTGAGGGAGTTGGGGAGCTGAGGGAATTGGGGGAATTGGGGAACAGAGGGAATTGGGGAGCTGAGGGAACTGAGGGAATTTGGGGAGCTGAGGGAATTGGGGAGCAGAGGGAATTGGGGAGCTGAGGGAATTGAGGGAATTGGGGGAACTGAGGGAATTGGGGAGCTGAGGGAGCTGAGGGAATTTGGGAACTGAGGGAATTGGGGAACAGAGGGAGCTGAGGGAACTGGGGGAATTTGGGGAGCTGAGGGAATTGAGGGAATTGGGGAACTGAGGGAATTGGGTAACTGAGGGAGCTGAAGGAATTTGGGGAGCTGAAGGAACCGGGGAGCTGAGTGAGTTTGGGAGCTGAGGGAATTGGAATTTGGGAGCTGAGTGAGCTGAGGGAATTGGGGAGCTGAGGGAATTTGGGAGCTGAGGGAATTGGAATTGGGGAGCTGAGTGAGCTGAGGGAATTGAGGGAACTGGGGGAGCTGAGGGAATTGGAATTTGGGAGCTGAGTGAATTTGGGAGCTGAGTGAGTTTGGGAGCTGAGGGAATTGAGGGAATTGGGGAGCTGAGGGAATTGGAATTTGGGAGCTGAGTGAATTTGGGAGCTGAGCGAGCTGAGGGAATTGAGGGAATTGGGGAGCTGAGGGAATTGGAATTGGGGAGCTGAGGGAATTGAGGGAATTTGGGAGCTGAGGGAATTGGGATTGTGGGGCTGAGCGAGCTGCGTTCCCCGCCGCAGACGCCCCTGGGCGGGCACAAGCGCGCCTCCTCGCAGCTGCTGCCCGAGCCCGAGCCCAGCCCCGAGGGCTCCTACGTGGGGCAGCACTCGCAGGGCCTGGGCGGCCACTACGCCGACTCCCACCTGAAGAGGAAGAGGATATTCTAGTGGGGAGAGGAGCCGGGCACGGCCCCCAGCACACCGCGAGGAGATACCCCGAAAAATGCCCAAAAAAAATGGAAATGAACCCCAAAAAACCCCGAGCAAACCGCGAGAAAATACCCCGAAAAATGCCCAAAAAAAAGGGAAATGAACCCCAAAAAAACCCCGAGCAAACCGTGAGAAAATACCCCAAAAAATGCCCAAAAAAACCCCAAGCAAACCGCGAGAAAATACCCCGAAAAATCCCCCAGAAAATGCCCAAAAAAACCCCGAACAAACCGCGAGAAAATCCCCCAAAAAATCCGAAAAATCCACGAAAAAATGCCCAAAAAAACCGGAAATGAACCCCAAAAAAACCCCGAGCAAACGGCGAGAAGAACCCCGAGCAAACCACGAGAAAATCCCCCGAAAATCCCCAAAAAATGCCCAAAAAAACCCCAAAATAAACCCCAAGAAAACCCCGAGCAAACCACGAGAAAATCCCCCGAAAATCCCCAAAAAATGCCCAAAAAAACCGAAATAAACCCCAAAAAAACCCCGAGCAAACCACGAGAAAATCCCCCAAAAAATGCCCAAAATAAACCCCAAAAAAACCCAAAATAAACCCCAAGAAAACCCCGAGCAAACCGCGAGAAAATCCCCCAAAAAAAATACCCAAAAAAACCCAAAATAAACCCCAAAAAAACCCCGAGCAAACCACGAGAAAATCCCCAAAAAATCCCAAAAAAATGCCCAAATAAACCCGGAAATAAACCCCAAAAAACCCCGAGCAAACCGCGAGAAAATCCCCCAAAAAAAATACCCAAAAAAACCCAAAATAAACCCCAAAAAAACCCTGAGCAAACCACGAAAAAAACCCCGGAAAAATCCGAAAAATCCCCAAAAAAAATCCCCAAAAAAACCATGAAAAAATCCCCAAAAAATTGCCCCAAAAACACCCAAAACAAACCATGAGAAAATCCCCCAAAAAATCCCCCAAAAAATTCCCAAAAATAACCCCGAAACAAACCACGAGAAAATCCCTGGAAAAATCTGAAAAATCCCCGAAAAAATCACCCCAAAAACCCCAAAATAAACCCCGAAAAAAACCCTGAAACAAACCACAAAAAAATCTCGAAAAAAATCCGAAAAAATCCCCCAAAAACCCCAAAAAATCCCAAAATAAAACCCCAAAAAACCCTGTAACAAACCATGAAAATATCCCCAAAAAAATCCCCAAAAATAGTCCCCAAAAAATCGTCCCAAAAACCCCCCAAAAAAGCAAAAAAAAACCTAAAACAAACCACGAAAAAATCCCCAAAAAATCCCAAAATAAACTAAAAAAAAAAATCAAAACAAACCATGAAAAAATCCCTTAAAAAATCCCCCAAAAAATCGCCCCAAAAATCAAATAATGAAAATCCCAAAACAAACTCCCAAAAAACGAAAAAAAATCCCAAAAATCCTCAAAGAATCCCCAAGAAATCAAAAATAAATCCCCCAAAAAAAACCCTCCAAACCAAACCCCCAAAAACCCCATAAAAATCCCCAAAAAATCCCCAAAAAAATCTCAAAAAAACCCAAAAATCAAAAATAAATCCCCCCAAAAAAGCCCCCCAAACCAAACCCCAAAATCCCCTAAAAATCCAAAAAAAAAGTCTCCAAAAAAAAACCCAAAAATCAAAAATAAATCCTAAAAAAAAATCCCAAAAAAAATCCAAAAAACCCAAACAAACCCCCAAAATTCCCTAAAAAAAATCCTAAAATCCCCAAAAAAATCCAAAAAACCCCCAAACAAACCCCCAAAATTCCCTAAAAAATCCTAAAATCCCCAAAAAAATCCAAAAAAAAAGGCTCCAAAAAAAAACCCAAACAAACCCCCAAAATTTCCTAAAAAAATCCTAAAATCCCAAAAAAAAATCCTCCAAAATCCCCCAAATTCTGTGGCTCCCGGAAAAGTCTCCAAAAAAAAACCCAAAAATCAAAAATAAATCCTAAAAAAAAATCCCAAAAAAAATCCAAAAAACCCAAACAAACCCCCAAAATTCCCTAAAAAAAATCCTAAAATCCCCAAAAAAATCCAAAAAACCCCCAAACAAACCCCCAAAATTCCCTAAAAAAAATCCTAAAATCCCCACAAAAAAAAAAACCCAAACAAACCCCCAAAATTTCCTAAAAAAATCCTAAAATCCCAAAAAAAAATCCTCCAAAATCCCCCAAATTCTGTGGCTCCTGCCCATCCCCCGCCCTGATTTCCTCTATTTTCATCCCAAATTAATTTCATTTTTTTTCCGTGTTTTACTCCCCTTTTTTGGGTTTTTTTGGGTTTTTTGGGGGTTTTTTTAGGATATTTTAGGATTTCAGCACCCCTTGAAGGCTTTGGGCACAATCCCCTCAATTTTGGGGTTTTTTGGGGTTTTTTTGGGGTTTTTTTTGGGGTTTTTTCCCCTCCCCCTCCCCAGAGCAGCCCCCGGAGCCCCCCAAAAATCGCTCCTGCCTTAACTGCTGCTTTGGGGGTCCCCGAAATTCCCGGGCTCGGCCCCAAATCCGGGGGTTTTTGGGGTTTCATTTTTTGGGGTTTCTCTCATTTTTTGGGGGTTTCTCTCATTTTTTGGGGGTTTCTCTCATTTTTTTTGGGGTTTCTATAATTTTTTTTAGGGTTTCTCTGATTTTTTGGGGTTTCATTTTTTGGGGGTTTCTCTCATTAGTTGGGGTTTCTCTCATTTTCTGGGGTTTCTCTCATTTTTTGGGGTTTCTCTCATTTTTTGGGGGGTTTCTCTCATTTTTTGGGGTTTTTACTCATTTTTTTTGGGATTTCCCTCATTTTTTTTTGGTGTTTCCCTCATTTTTTTGGGGTTTCTCTGATTTTTGGGGTTTCATTTTTTGGGGTTTCTCTCATTTTCTGGGGTTTCTCTCCCTCATTTTTTGGGGTCCAATCCCTCTCTTTAAACATTTCACCGGGTGCTTTTCGTGCCGTTTCATTTTTTGGTGCCGTTTTATTTTATTTTATTTTATTTTTTGTGTGTTTTTCCCTTTTTTTACCGACTGGAGCCGCTGCTGTTTTACGCTTTTTTAAATTCTTTTTTTTTTTTTTTGTGTTTTTCCCTTTTTTAACCGACTCGACCGCTGCTGTTTTACGCTTTTTTAAATTCTTTTTTTTTTTGGGGGTAAAATCGGCCTTTGATTTTTTAATCGACCGACCCTTTCCGGGGGGATTTCCCCGATTTTGGGTTCTTTTCCCTGGGTTTTGTGTTCGGGGGGGGCTGCGTCCCCCCCTCCCCTCCCCCCCCCAAAATAAAGTTCTATTTATATCTCTGCCCCCCATCCTTTCATTTTTTTGGGTTGTTTCGGTGTCCTTTCGTTATTTCTGCTGCGCCCTCATTTTTTGGGGGGAGCCCCTTGCGCCCCCTCCCCAATTTGGGGTGTCACGTGTCCCCGAACCCCCAAAAAATCACCCAGAGCCCCCCCAAAGCACCACCCTCCCCCCCCTCCCCCATCAGCGAGGCGCCCTGCTTTTTCAGGGCCGGGCGCTGGCCCCGCCCACTCCCGGCTGCTGGTCCCGCCCCCGCGCGGGTCACGCGGGGCGGTCACGTGGCGCCCAACATGGCGGCGCCCATGGCGGCGGCGAGCGGCGGCTCCGTGACGCGGCGGCTGCTCCGGGGCGTCTCCCGCAGCCTCAGCGGCGCCGGGGCCGCGGCCGAGGAGCCCGAGGCCGCCGTGTGGGTACCGGGAGCGCCCTCCCGGGGCGGCGGCGCCGGAGCGGCGGCGAGCCCCGGCGCTGAGCCCGGTGTCGTGTGTCCCCCCCCCTTTCCCCAGGGTTAACGTCGTCTTCGTGGACCGGGAGGGGCGGCAGGTGCCGGTGCGCGGCAGAGTCGGTGACAACGTGCTGCACCTGGCGCAGCGGCACGGGCTGGAGCTGGAGGGTCGGGACCGGGAACGGGACCGGGGCTGGGAACGGGAACGGGATTGGGAACGGGAACGGGACCGGGAACGGGATCGGGATTGGGAACGGGACCGGGGCTGGGAACGGGAACGGGACCGGGAACGGGGCTGGGAACGGGAACGGGATTGGGAACGGGACCGGGAGCGGGAACGGGGCTGGGAACGGGACCGGGGCTATCGGGGGGGTCTCAGTGTTCCTGGGCCGTTCCCATGGGGCTGTCCCGGCGCTCCCGGTGCTCCCGGGGCGGTCCCGTGGGGCGGTCCCGGTACTCCCGGTCCATTCCTGATGCTCACGGCGCGGTCCCGGCGCTCACGGCGCGGTCCCCGTGCTCCCGGGGCTGTCCCGGTGCTCCCGGGCCGTTCCCGGCGCTCCCGGGCCGTTCCCGGTGCTCACGGCGCGGTCCCGGTGCTCCCGGGCCGTTCCCGGCGCTCCCGGGCCGTTCCCGGCGCTC